TGATGATGATGTTAGTGCTGCTGCTGATGATGACGATGATGATATTGATGATGATGACGATTGATGGTGACGATGATGAAGATGATGACGATTATGTTGACGATGCTGTTGCTGCTGCTGGTGATGATGACGGTGAGGATGAGGATGATGCTAATGATGAACACCATGATGGTGATGCTGCTGATGATAATGATGATACTGATGCTGGTGATGACGGTGATAATGATGATGATGGTGGTGATGGTGATGATGATGCTTCTGATGATGATGCTTACGCTGATGCTGATGCTGATGATGCCGCAAATGATAATGAGGATGTTGATGATGACGATGATGATGATGCTGCTGTTGATGATGATGATGATGATGATGATGATGGTGCAGGTGCTGATAATGATAATGATAATGATCCGGCTGCTGCTGCTGATGATGATGATTATGATTATGATTATGATGGTAGTATGGTGATGTTGATGGTGATGCTACTCATGATGCTGCTTACGCTGACGCTGATGCTGCTAATGCCGCACATGATGATGAGGATGCTGATGATGACGATGATGATGATGATGCGGGTGCTGATGATGATAATGATGCTGCTGCTGATTCATGATGATGATGATTCTTAATCTGATTATGATGATGGTGATGGTGATGATGATGCTGATGATGCTGCGGATGCTGATGCTGATGGTGATGATGATGATTCTGCTGATGATGCTGATGCCGCTGATGATGCTGATGATGCTAATGATGATGATAGTGGTCGTGAGGAAGAGGATGATGATGCTGCTGCTGCTGCTGATGATGATGATGATGATGATGATGATGTCGTTGATGTCGATGATGATGCTGATGCTGCTGCTGCTGCTGATGATGATGATGATGATGATTGTTGTAGTGGTGGTGGTGGTGTAGTTGATGATCATGATGATGATGCTGATGCTGATTATTATGATGATTATGATGATGAGGATGATGGAGGAGTTGGAGGAGGATGGGTCTTGGTGGTTTGAGTGGGCTTTTGGGGTGTGAAGTAGCAGGAGGAGCTTTCGAGGATTGTCTGCTGGTGTTTCTCTCTTTCCACGCAGGCTTCGATGCCCGGTCAATGGTTTACCTGGACGAGTGCCACGACGCGTGCGAGGTTGTGCTCCAGTGGCTCCAGAGGTGTCCTCCTTGGAGCCTCCTCGATCCCTACCTGCTGCTGATGCCCCTACTCGTTCTTCTTCTACAGCTCCTCCCGCTCGCTCTGTCCCTTTCCCTCCCCTTCAGTTTTGCTTCCATCGCTCCGGGTCGATGCCGAGCTCGCTCGGCTCGATCCGATTCGATTTCGATGTCTTGGCGATCCGATGTGGGCCGATACTTGCACAGCGTAGTCCGGTATCCGGGCGGTAGCGATCCGATCCGACTTCGACCCGTGTGCCGATGCGGCTCGATCCGACGCAGATTGCGATCCAAGAGGCTCATGCCATCTCTGCCGACCCCCAGCAGAGGCCACGGTTGAGGCGTCGTGGGCTTCTCGTGCACTATCTGGGGACTCCTGTGGGCGTCTTGGGAACTGTTTGTGGGCCTGGTTGAACCTCCTGGAGGCAGTTTTGAAGCGTCTTGGGGGCCGTTTGGGGGCCTCCTTTGGGCCTCTTGGGGGCCTCTTGGGGCTTATTAGGGGTCCTCGTTTGGGCCGCTTGGGGTCTTCTTGGGTTTTCGTGGGGGCCTCTTGGGGCGGATTGCGTTCTCCCTCTGGGCCTCTCTTGGTGCCCTCTTTGGGCGATCTTTGGCCGTCTTGAGTCCCTCTTTGTGCCGTCTTGGAACCCTCTTGTGCCGTCCTGGGCCCGTCGTAGGGCCCTCTTGGGCCGGTCTAACGGGGCGTTTTGGGCCGCCTTAGCAAGCTCGAGAAGGCGACAACCCCGGAAATGATGACGTACCTGAGGGGACCCGCTGCTTTTTGCCTCTCGGGGCCCTCTTGGGAAAACTCTTGGGCCGTCTCGAAGGCGTCTTGGGGCGTCTTAGAGCCCTCATAGGTCGGAGGTGGATAGACCTCCTTCCCTGACACGTCGATTAGGAATTGGCCGTTTCGGCTCGCGAGAGGGCGTCGCGGCCGTCATTTTTGCGGGTCCAGGTCCGTCGGTTTCGGTCCCAGGCCGTTTTCATTAAGGGGAGGTTTACTGAAGGGAGGTTTGTCCACCGCCGATAAACGATATTTTTTACCCCGGGGGGGGGAGGGGGAGGGTTGAGTCGGGCCTGTCTCTCTACAGGAGGAGTGTATTAAAAAATAGTCCAGAAATGGTCTGGGGACGATTTTTCTTAGGATGTTTGAATATTTTTGTCGTATTTTATTTCTGCTAGTTTTGAAGTTGTTATCCAAAATCCCCCTGTAGGGGGACATGCCCGACCTAAGGCAAGGGGGAAAGCCCATCATCTCACACGCCTTCCCATCCCCGGCAAGCGGGGGCCAGCGGATTCGACTCGGTTTTTCCCGAGTCGACTCGACGCTGACTGATCCTGCCCCCCCCATCGCTCGTTCCTGATCTTGGCATCGCTCGGACGTGTGCATTTTTTCTTGGCGAGGACCATCGAGGAGCACCTTTGATCATTTAGCGAAAAAACGCGCACGAAATCGACAAATGTACGGGGAATGACGTCTGAGCGATGGCGAGTGATGTCCTTCCGCGGCTGCTGCTCCGTCGCTCGTCGTGCCTCCGGTCGCCCTTGAAACTGCAAAGAGGCTTCCGTTTCTTGCGTGGCGTTCCCTCAAGCTTGTAGCTCGGCCGCACCGCTCCCTCGTCTCCCCCCTGCCCCTTCCCCTGGCCCGAGGAGCACGAGGTACGTCCAATACTCAGAGCGTGAATTACCTACCCCGCTTTCGCTTCCAGGCAAAACCAAGTCATACCACGCCTCCCCGTCAAGCGGCCTGACCAGTACAGGCCGTCGCTTGTCATCGCTTGGTATCTCTTGGAAGCGAGGGTGGTCAAAAGCGAGGTAGGTTTGTTTGCCCTCTAAATATGGTGAAGGCGTTTTCCCGAAGCAGCTTGTCAATGCTGTTTCCAAGTGGTGGGCTGTGGTGACGTTTCACAAGGTCTGTTCTGCGCGCGCGCATCCACGTCGTCCCGTTGCTCCAGGGTCTTATCGCACGTGCGGAGTGGCGCCGAGGAACATGCGGTACGCCCAAGAAGGTGAAGGGCTTTTCCAAAGCCTTGTGTCGATGCTGTTTCCAAGTGGCGGGCCGTGGTGTTGCACAATGCCTGTTGCTTGGTGGTGGCTTCCAGGTGTGCGTTGCGCCGGTTGTAATCTGTCCGCGCTGGGCCGTGACACTTCGCACTCGCTCAGTTCTGGGAGGTTGTGTTGCCAGCCGTGGCATTTCGTGCAGTTCGTCTTCCCGTGCGTGCGCGTACTCATCCGTGGTGTTGCGCTGCTCCGCGAGCTCAGGGCACGTGCGCGCTAGTAGCTAGTATGATTCGGCACTGTCATGGCGCCCGCCCCAATTACCCCTTCCCTCCCTCCCCTCTCCTGCTTCCTCCCCCCCCCTCCCTTCCCCTTCCCCTCTCTTCCCCTCCTCTCCCTTTCCCCCCCTCCTATCCCGCTTCGTCAACCCTCCCCTCCCTTGAATTTCTTCGTGAGGGTGTCTAAAGCTGTCGCCACCCTAGCCGCCGCCCTCCTGGATTTCTGGCCAAGGGCCAACCTGGATGGGGTGTCTTGGGAGCGTCTCTCGCCGTCTGTGCCTCCTCGGGACCAGGTCCCTGGGCACTCCTGGAGCTGGGTTGGCAAGGTCTGGCAGTGTAGCGAGTGCCCCAGTAGCTCTCGAGCCATCTCTCTGCCTCCCCCTGGGAGATGTTCCCGGCGCCTCAAGGTCCGCCCGCAGCAACTGTTGGCTCTTGGGCACCGCTGCATCGTTGCGGACTGCAGCGACGGCAGGTTCATTTGTTTTTGCCAGCTCTGTTTCTTCTACACGTCGGGTGGCCCGTTGCGAGGTCTGGCGGGCCCCAGGCCCGTGCGTCGGATCCAGACCGTGGCAAGGAGTCTTGGTCTGCGGGCAACGCTCGTCGCAAAGAAGTCTGGGCCAGACTGCAAAGGCCTCCATGAGGGGAACAAACAGTGGCACAAACATAAAAATCTGGAGGTCTGCCCGGATTTCTCGGATCGGCGCTGGACCCCCTTCCCTGGCGCGCGGAGCGCGCCAGGGGCGGCGCCGGAGGCGCCGCCGGGGGGCTCCAGCGCCGATCAGAGAAATTTGCGCGGACTTCTGGGTTTTTATGTTTATTCCCTTTTCTGTTCCCCTGTCCATCCCAAGCGAATGGGGGTGTCTGTTGATCTGGAAGGGCTGGGCATTCTTTTCCGCACCGCCGTCTCTCCTGCTGACGAGGAGGAGCACGGTCCCCAGGAGCACCCCGAGTTCGTGGAGGGATCGCCCGCTACCCCGCCTGCGGGGGACTCATACGATTTCGACGCGGACGCGGAAGCCGCGCGTTTTTTGCATGCTCATGTGGAGGAGGTGGTCATTGCTCCCCTCGTGGTTCCCTTCCTCCCCCCAGTGGCGGATGGCACGGGTGTTCGCTCCGCGGTCGACCCTGACCCTGGGGAGCTGGAGGAGCGCAGAGTGTCTCGCCTCGCAGCCTCGTTGCTTCGCACGGCTCGTCGATCTCTCGGCCGTCCAGCTCCCTCCGAGCCTTGGGCTCATCCCGGGGGAGGCCTTCCTGGTGCGTCCGCCTCTTTCGTGAGCCGCTCCACCCCGTGAGCGGTACCTTCAGCGCTTCGGGAGGAAGAGGACCCTGCTCCGCCAGCTGCTGGTCCGGCGCGGTTCGCCTTCGGACCAGCCTGCGCTCCAGTTCTCGTTGGTGCGGCCCTTCTCGAGCTGACTGCCGCGTCTTGTGGCGCCTCGCGCTTGGTTTGACCACCCGCCAAACCACCCCAACCAAACCCGAAGGCCTCAATTTGCTCTCCATTTCCAGTGGGGGGGGGGGTCGGGGAACATGGGAAAAACACCTATGGAGCCCATACCCCCCCCACCCCGAAATTCGGGTCTTCGGGTTGGGTTGGGGTGGTCTGGTAGGTACACTCGCCCTGGGTCTCTGGCCGGGACCTCCCTGCCAGGCGGGGCCCCGAGGCACCCATGCCGCCTCGGCGCCGTGCCTTTCTGCCTGGCCTGCCTGGGGCCCCCTGTGCCCCGACGGGGGGTCCTCGGCCGTGGGGGTCAAGAGCAGCTCCTTCCTCCCCTGCCCCTTCCCTGCCCGTCTCCTCGCCCCTCTCCCCCCCATGCCCCCCACTCTTTCCCCCCCTCTCCCATCCCCCCACTCTCTCCGCCGCCCCCCCCCCCTCCCCTCCCCTCCCCTGCTCCCCCCCCCCTTCCCTGCCCCCCCCCTCTCCCCCCTCTCGTCCCCTGCCCCCTGTCCACCTCCCATCTCCCTTCCCCCCACCCCCCTCCCCTCGTTTCACAGGTGCACAGAAGACGAATACTAATACCCTACCAGAATGATCATAGTAGAATAATTACCGCAAGACCACACTTCGGGTGATAAGGAGGCGAGGGGGGGGACCACCGTCGCACTCGATCGATCTCACTATCGATCTCGCTATCGATCTCATTATCGATCTCATTCGATCAATCTCACAATCGATCTGGCTATCGATCTCACACTCGATCTCACTAACGATCTCACTATCGATATCACAATCGATCTCACAATAGATCTCACAATCGATCTGGCTATCGATCTCACGATCGATCTCACATTCGGTCTCACGATCGATCTCACTACCGATATCACTATCGATCTCATTCGATCGATCTCACAATCGATGTCACAATCGATCTCACATTCGGTCTCACTATCGATCTCACTATCGATATCACAATCGATCTCACAATCGATCTCACAATCGATCTGACTATCGATCTCACTATCGAACTCACTATCGAAGTCATGATCGACCTCTCGTTCGATCTCACTATCGATCTCACTATCGATATCACAATCAATATCACAATCGATCTCACATTCGGTCTCACTATCGATCTCACTATTGGGTCTCACTATCGATCTCACTATCGATCTCACATTGGGTCTCACTATCGACCTCACTATCGATATCACAATCGATCTCACAATCGATCTCACATTCGGTCTCACTATCGATCTCACTTCCGAACTCACCATCATCACCACCATCATCATCACCATCATCATCATCGTTGTCAACATCATCATCATCATCATCATCATCATCATCATCATCGTCGTCGTCGTCGTCGTCATCATCATCATCATCACCGACGGGACACCGACGGGACACCAGTGGGACACCCGGGGCCCCGGCCGCCCGGAAGGGAGACATTTGTTCCGGCCGCGCCTCAGCCACCTGGGACACCAGCGGGACACCGGCAGGACACCGCGGGCCCCCGGCCGCCCGGAAGGGAGACATTTGGTCCGGCCGCGCCTCAGCCACAGGAGACTTTCTTCTCGCCCGCCCACGCAGCTTCGCCTCGCCCGCACGCACGGCACGCACGAACACGAAACCGAAATCGATTTCCCGGTAGGGGGGCTCTCCGTTCCACTTCGATCTCACCCCCTGACCTCCGATACTCATACTAATAAGTATACTAACAAGAGGACGGATGATATTCTTGATGCGCAGCAGCAGTTTAATCATACTTACCAGAAGATGAATACGACAAGCAATATTACTACGACGAAAACTACACATAATAAGAAGCATACGAATACGAATAATAACAAGACAGCGGATACACATAACGAGACGAACAGTTATACTAATAAAATTCATCCTATGAATAAGGAGTAATACTAATTTGATAATAATAGCGCTAATTCACAGGCGCTTTCCACGCCAGAGCGACTGGCAGGGCATGCTGTCGCGAGAGCGCGCCAGCAACCACATTTGAGCGGGAGCGTGCACGCACGCAGAAAGAGGCGAGCGCTCGACTGCGCCTCTCCATCAGCAGCGCAGCCCGCCAACAGGCTCCTGGCCAAGCTGGTCTGCTTGCAGTGCCGATGTTGTCGGAGCCCGATCCCGAGTGAGGGTGAACCTTCACTCCTGCGTCAGTCTCCGTGATCCGGAGGGCGCTCCGCGCCAAGCAGATGGCAAGCTAGGCAAGACGCGTGTCGAACACGACGCGCCCAGGACAGCACCTTGCCACCAGCATCACAACACTTCCCCACGGCCGAGCCTAAACAGCGTGTTGAAGTGCCGCCAGCAGCGGAGCCCGATCCCGTGTGTCGGCAAGCCTGCACACCTGGTTCAGTTTCCGCTCAGCAGCTGAGCCGTCGCAGGCCGAAAGGGCCGCTGTTATACACAAGCGCGCCGTGCAGCGTAGCGAAGGCCTACCCCCAGCATCGCAACAGGTCCCTTGGCACCTGGTCACTGCTGGACTTCGTTGCATTGCCGAGGGTATCAGGCGGCGGAGCCCGATCCCATGCGTGGGCGAACCTACGCACCTGGGTCAGTATCCGCTCAGGACTGCAAGCGCGAGAGCAGCCAGAGGCTGCGAGACAAGCAGGGCACAGGACGTGCCGCTTTATATGGAAGGGCGCTCCGCGCCAGACAGATGGGCGAGCGGGCACAGGGGCGCGCGTCAGATGGCGCGCCGCGACACACCTCACCATCAGCATCGCAACACTTCCCTATGGCCAGAGGCCTAAACAAGACTGTTGCACTGCCGAGCTCGATCCCATGTGTAACTGGACCTACACGCCTGGTTCAGCTTCCGCTCATCGTGGCCGGCCATGCACGAGCACCGAGCTTAAAAGGGGAGAGAGGCGCACGCCGAAGAGAAGGACCGACGGCAACGCAACGCGTCTCTTGGCCCCAGGCCTCTGCTGGACGTAGTTGCATTGCCGCTGGCCTCGGACCCCGATCCCATGCGTCGGCAAGTCTACGCACCTGGGTCAGCCTCCGCTTACGACGGCTGCGCGCGGCAGCAAAGGGTTGCGAGAGAGGCGCAACGAGTTGTGTCAGCCGAAGCGCATGCACCGAGACAGGGCCATGCGCACGCGTGGCAAGCGAACGAGGGTTGCAGGAAGCGTCGCTGCGACCTAACCGATAGCAGCGCAACGTGTATGATGATGCTGATGCTGATGCTGATGCAGATGCTGATGACGACGGCGACGGCGACGACTTCGCTGTTGATGATGATTATGATGATGATGATGATGATGATGATGATGATGATGATGATGTTGCTGTTGCTGTTGCTGTTGCTGTTGCTTCTGTTGCTGCTGCTGCTGATACAATATGCTGAGGCTGATGCTGATGTTTATGATGCTGCTGCTGATGATGATGCGAATGCTGATGCTGATGTTGACGATGATGCTGCTGATGTCGCTGGTGGTGACACTATTGTTGCTGCTCATGATGATGGTGGTGATGATGATGCTTATGCTGATCATGCTGCTGATGCTGATGCTGTTGCAGATGCTGCTAATGATGATGATGTTGACGACGCTGATGATGATGACGATGGTGATAATGGTGGTGGTGGTGATGATGCTGCTGCTGCTGATGCTGATGCTGCTGCCTTGTGATGATGGTGGTGGTGGTGATGATGCTGATGAGGCTGCTGATGATGCTGCTGATGAGGAGGAGGAGGATGAGTATGAAGATTCAGACGAGGACGACGAGGACGAGGAGGTGTTGAAGGAAAGTTTGCGGCGGGAGGTGGGAGGAGGGAGGAGGGAGGATGGAAGGGGGAGGGGGTAGGAGGTAGGAGGGAGGAGGGAGAAGGGATGAGGAGGTTGATGATGATGATGATGATGAGGAGGAGGAGGAGGAGGAGGAGGAGGACGCCGCCTAGGACGACGAACTGTATAACGACGAATGTCGAAGCCCACGACATCGACGAAGGCTCATCGTCGAGGCTAACTCCAGCGACGTGATCAAGATTGCCCCCCCGATCTTAGCCAGAGTCTATTCAAGAGTTCCACACTAACCCGCCGAGCCCCAGAAGAGAACAGGTGCGGCCTCCGGTGCCGTACGTGTTGCTTGCCGCTTGCCGCTGTGCTGCCTGCGTGCTGCTGTTGCTGGCCTGTCCCCCTCTTCCTCCGCACGGACGCGGGGTCTTCGTTCGTGGATGCCCCGCGCGGAGCACACATATTCACGCGGCCGCGTATCCACGGGATCGCGAGGGCGTGGATGTGGATACGTTCGCCGCTCGTGATCCGCTGCGGGGCTTCCACGGGGCCTCTTCCTGGCATCGCTCGGACGTGCGCATTTTTTCCCGGCGAGAACCAATGAGGACGATCCTGGACCATCGAGCAACAAAAACACGCACGAAACCGAAAAACGCACGGGAAATGGACGTCCGAGCGATGGCGAGTCTTGGAGGTCACCCGGGGGCGGCCTCGGGAGAGACTCCTCCTGGGATGCTGGCCAGAGTCTGCCCCGGAGCGCGCCTGCGCCCGTCCCCGCCGACCGACCCAGTTTGGGCCAGGGGGGGGAGGGGGAGGACGGGGGGGGGGGGAAGAGGAAAGGGAGAAATGGAAAAGGGGGGGAAAGGGCGTGGAGGAGGGGGGAAGGGGAGGAGGGGGGGTGGAGGAGGAGGGGGTGGGATGAAAGAGGGACCGGAAGAGGGTGGGGAAAGAGGGAGGAGGAGGAGGAGGAGGAGGAGCAGGAGGCGGAGGACCAGGTGTTAGAACATGGCCATGCGACAGGATGAGCAACGCCGTTTAGGAATTCCAGTGGTGCATGGTATTTGTGGGCTGCAACTGTTTGGTTCAAGTACTGTGTTCCTCCACTGCAGGAAGGTCCCGATTTAATGATCATGGTAGCGGAGCTCGTGGTTCACCCCGCGGGTTCCAGTGCAGGTATGGCAGCGGCGGCCGCCGCAACGACTCCAGTGGACCCTGGCAACCACGACCCGTGCTACAATGTAACGTTACCTGATGTCCGAGAGGCTTGGTACAACTTGAGCACGAGCCGGACTGTGGAACGGTGAAGTTTGGTCGCGAAATCGAATACTTCAGGTCTGCCACCACCGCTCAATGCCAACCAC